TTTTCTGTGGGTTCAAAAGGGAGCAAAATGCTCCAAATGGGAGTCAAAGTCCAAACATGGTAAAAAATAGTTACTTATTTTAGCTGTAAAAATTCAATATTTGTGGTTAAAAATTATATTAAATTAAAACCTATTTTCAACCTTCCAATTTTCTTAAGTTTAATTAAGTATTTAATATATAACGGCCTGAGATTACTCCCTAGCAGATATTGTATAGTCAGTTTTACGATTATAAACGCGTCTACTAGAGAGAGGTTTCCATACTCTTCTAAACGGACAATATTTACTAATAGTGGGCTTGGACGGTTATAAATGATATCAGAGCAAGACATCAGCGGTGTATTAACGAGGAAGTTGGGCCCCCAAAAAACAAAGTATCTCTTATAAATGTGTGGATACCTCTCCCTGATAGACGTGTTTTAAAACTGTGATGCTAACGACGATACATAACGGACCAAAACGAACAATATGTGCAAAATTGAAAAAGGCTGAGTGTCACCCACCAAGATTTGTCAATTTTTTTAATTATTTATTTACCAAATAAAGACACTCATAAAGCAGCTTGAGAATGCCCATAGGTGCTTAAATATGCAAAACAACCAGAAATCACAGCCATTCAATTTGACACGTGTTCAAATCCTATACGATATTTCAGGTTCATAGAATCAAAATTCAAAAGCACCCATAGTTTTTAGAACAACCTCTCATATTGCAATCTCGTGGATTTTGTTTTTGTTAAATAATAATAATAATAATAATAATAATAAATAATTGAAATATAAATTTAATATTTTAACCCATCTATTTAGACTTTTTTTTTTTAATAGTTTCCATACTTGAAAAAAAAATATTTAAATTAATTATTAATATGGTATTTTTTGTAAATGAGTTTGTCAAATTAAAAAATTAAATGTTTTAATAATTACTAAAAAAAATTATTAAAAAAAAAATGTTCCTTTGTCTTTATAAGTTCTTGTTATTAATTACTCATTCATTTATCACGTTACTATGCATGAATTTGTAATGTTTTATGTTTAAGATTCAAATCACGTAACCCAAATAAAGAATTCAAGACTGTATTCGAATAAGAGTGATCATGATGATAGCTGTAACAGTATAAGCTCACCACTAGTAGATATTGTCCTCTTTAGCCTTTCTCTTCTAAGCTTTAGTCGGGATAAATCTGACCCCTTCTCCTGTTCCCGCATACGTATATAGGATATTTTCAAAAGTGAACATTATATGGGATATTTTAAGTCCTCTTTAGCCTTTCTCTTCCGAGCTTTAGTCGGGATAAATCTAACCCCTTCCCCTGTTCCCACCTGGGATATTTTAAGAAGTGAACATCTTTCTTAGTCGCAGGGTCGGGAAAAGAATAGGAAAGGTGATTTCACTATATTTCTGACCAGGAACAGGTCCTATGAGTTTTAAAATGTGTGCTAGGGAGAGCTAGGGAGAAGTTTCCACACCCTTATGAAGAATGTTTAGTTCCTCTCTCCGACCAATGTGGGATCTCACAATCCACCCTCGGTCGGGGTCCAATGTTCAATCAACCCCTTTTCAGGGCTAAGCGTTCTCGCTGGCATACTAATCCATGTGGGATCTTACAGCTAAAAATGGCTTAAAAGAATGGAAAGTCATTAGGTAATTATAATTAGAATTAGAAATTAATTTCTTAATTAACTAAGAGGAGGGTATAAATGGAATTTAGTAAAAAATAAGGGACATTTTGGGGAGGAAGATTGAGGGATCGAGAAACTGCAACAGAAACCAGATGAAAAGAGAAGAAAACAAGAGACTGAGGAGACGCTGGAATTCGGGAAAACCATCAAACTCACTCCTACCACTGAAATCATGTGAGCTTCAATTGCTCAGATTCACTTCATTTCATTAATTCATTCATCTTAAATGTTTATAAATACTCAGCCATTTTTCAATTACACTTCAAACTGAAGCTTCCCTGTTTTTTGATCTTCCAACAATGGCGAAGAATTTGGCTCAGGCATTTCTCGAGAGAAACAATTTGGCCTCAAATGACCCAAAAGTGGCCATGGCGAAGCGCTGTGCTAGAGGTAAACCTTTCGATCTTTTCTTTTTACGAGAATTTTCATGAGGAAAAGAAATTTAATGGGTCTGTTGGATTTTTAGTTGCTCTGCTTTGATGATACCACACTGTGATGAATTTGATGAGTTGAGTTGTTGACAGTAGTGAGTGATTGATCATAATGATGGGTTTAAGATTTGGTTTTTTGATAGTGCCTTTTAGGTGTTCGACGAAATTCCCCAAAGAGGGTTTTGTTGTTTTAGCTTCAAGAATGGATTGAAGTAAAAGTAATATGATTGGGGAACCATTTTCAACTCCCTCCACCAACTCTTCTTTTTTAGTTAATTATTTAAGGTAAAAGCTAAAGAGAGATGGGGTGTGATCGATGCGCATGTTGTGTTCTTGACTGATTTGATTGTTTTGATGTATTGGGTTGTGGCCCATGATCCACTTCAGATTTGGTGCCATGAAAATAATTGAATTCTGATGTTGTGTTTTTCAAATCATTCTCTTCACAAATTTGCTTTTATTGATGAACAGAGGGTGTGATAGCTGGAGCTAAAGCAGCTGCCATTGCAAGTATTGCCACTGCTATTCCCACCGTAAGTTTCCACCTTCATAATGCACATCCAGATCTTTATCTTTCCTTTTCTGAAGAACTTAATCATCAACTGATGTAGATTACCTTAACGCACTACTAGTCATGAATTTATGTGGATATTTGGGTTTATTGCTAGTGTAATAGCTTAAGTCTACCGCACCCGCTAGGTTAGTAGATATTGTCTTTTTTGAGCTTTCTCTCAAGATTTTTAAAACGCATCTACTATAGAGAGATTTTCACCCTTATAAAAAATGCTTCATTCAACTTCTCAACCGGTGTGGGATCTCACAATCCACCCCCTTCGGGGCCCAACGTCCTCGCTGCCACTTGTTCCCTTCTCCAATTGATGTGAGACCCCCCAATCCGCCCCCCTTTAGGGCCAGCGTCTTTGTTGGCACACCGCCTCGTGTCCACCCCCTTTGGAGCTTAGCCTCCTCGCTGACACATCACCTGGTGTTTGGTAACGGCCCAAGCCCATCACTAGCAGATATTGTCCTCTTTGAGCTTTCCCTTTCAGGTTTCCCTCAAGATTATTAAAATGCGTCTACAACGGAGAGGTTTCCACACCCTTATAAAGAATGTTTAGTTCTCTTCCCCAACTGACGGGATCTCACAATTTTAAACTTTGAAACCTACTTTCTATTTTGTTCCCTAAAATTTGTCCCTCCCTATGAAAATTTCTGGATCTTCCCCTAATCAAGATAGAGGCACCATGCAACTGCTCTTTCACCAATCATGGTGGTTGGAGCTAGCTGCTGGCTGGCCACATCCTTCAACCTGAACAATAAGAGACATGTTTGGGAGTGATTTCGAAAGGGTTCGAATCACTTTCATGCATGCTTTCAATCCTTCAAAATCAATTTTGATGGTACAAAACTCGAATATAGAAGTGTAAAATCAACGTGATTTTAGATACTACTAGATTCGAGCTATCCAATCCATAAGTAGAGTTGTTATCATTTTGCAGCTGGCCAGCGTGAGGATGCTGCCATGGGCAAAAGCTAATCTGAATCACGCAGCTCAAGCTCTCATAATCTCCTCAGGTTTATCTTCTTCTTCTTCTTCTTCCCTCTTAGCAGCAGCCAAATCATTTCATATTCTTACATGGATTTTGGAATGGCAGTGGCTGGAGCAGCTTACTTCATAGTGGCTGACAAGACTGTTCTAGCAACAGCAAGAAGAAACTCCTTCAAGCAAAAACCCAACGCTGAAACATACGAATTCAAGTGAATTCTCAACCTTCAAATTTGAGTGTGACCATTGGACGAAGCTATAAGGGACTTACACACTTGAAGAAGCTATCCATTTCAATATTAGCTCTTTCAATTTACCCTTCAATCTCGTACTAAGAAAATCTATGTAAATCCCTTTGATGTTCGAATAAAAAAGTGGGTTTTTAGTTATTCGTTTCGTCAATCCTACCTTTTCAAAAGTCTAATCGATTCACTCGTGAAATTTTAGAATTTAAGTTATACAATTATTAGTTTGAGATCTTAATCGATACAATTGGTTCAATTCATTACATTGTGATATCGTCATTCACTCGAAATAAATTATTCTCGATTTTATAATTTTTTTATTGATTGAATTTTATAATTTTTTATCTTGTTAATAAAAATTTATAGGTTAATTGTCATAATTATAAAACCATAAAATGTAACAAATTTAAAGAACACTTCGCTTCATTATTACTCCATAAGAAATGTCGTTGGATTGTGATGGATGATCTTCCTCATTTGGAACTAAGAAAAAAGTAAATAATAATAATAATAATAATAATTTTTAAAAATTACAGACCTATTAAACATTTAAAAATAAATAAAATTTCGAAGGTCTTGTAAACACGTAGGATAGCGGAAAGTTGAAGGACAAATCTATTAAATATTTTAAAAGTTCAATAATCTATAAAAACATAAAATTGAAAGATTAAGAACAAAATATAGACACAAATAACTGGATAACTAAGAAAAAGAATTCACCCTCAATTGACTAAGCAAAAGATGACCCACTAATGAGAGGTGTTCAAAAGACTCGATGACCTGAAAATTCGATTAACTGCATAGAACTCTTATAGTTTGGGTTGAATTATGAACTTGAAAAAAATTTATGGTTAAATTGGGTTGGGTTGAATTCATTATTTAATAAGAGTTGTTTGAGTTGAAGGATTTACAACTCGAACAATTGGGTTGAATCTAATAGATGTCCTAACCTGACCTAACTCAACCCACGAACACTCTTAAATTGATTCTAAAAGAGGTCCAAATTCAAACCAACTCAACCTACAAACACCTTTGAAAGACTTTTAGACAACTATATAAACCCTCGAAAGCGTTCACCAAACTTCATCATTTCAAAATTTAAACTTCCACCAAAAACAAACACTTTAACAACTCCAAGGTGAGCTTTTACTTCATTATATTTCTTCTTTTACGTTCTTCATTGATTTTAGGAAGAAGAAGAATATGAACTGGTCGAGAGGTGACTGGATGTGTGGTGCTTGTGAACACGTAAACTTCAAGAAAAGAGAAGCTTGTCAAAGATGTGGGTACTCAAAATATGGAGGCCCTCACCCTCAATACCCAACCGCACATGAACATGGTATCAAAACAGAAGAAGCTTTGGCTGGAGATTGGTATTGCAAATGTGGAGCTCATAATTATGCTACCCGATCAAGCTGCTATAGATGTCATGCATATAAGAGTCTTGATCTTGGTGCCTTTCCTGGTTGGAAATCTGGGGATTGGATCTGCACAAGGTATGTATACACGACCGACCACTGTTATCGAATAGATTTCAATTATGTTTCTAAACTTCAAACTAGTTCGAAAAAGTATATTCTTTACTCAAACAAAGATTGAAATTAACGTAACAGTTGAACGTGTAAAAATTAGAAGACTTAATGATATTATTTAGGAGTGTTCGTGGGTTATGTCAAGTTGAGCTGAGACATCTTTTTAAAACCAACTCAATTGTTCGAGTTTAAATTTTTTCATTTTGGCATAGCGGGAGCGCACCCTTGATGATTGCGTCGTTGTTCTTGGACTGTGAGGTCTCTTAGTCACATGGATAGCCAATTTATAAAATTTTCATTTATTTGAGTTCGAAACCCAACCCAAACCGTATGAGTTGGGTTGGACCGATCTCGTTTTTTAGGTCATCGAATATTTTAAACAACCTTGATATTATTTATAACGATATGCCATTTTATTCATCTAAAAAACGACGAGTAACGATATTATGTTGAAATTTGTGCAGATGTGAAACCCACAATTATGCTAGCAGAATGAAATGCTACAAATGCAGTTTTGGTAAGAAAATCAAATTCTTGACCCTTTTTTTAAGTTCACGGGAAAGATTCAAATCTCTGACCCGTAGTTTAACTAATTGAGTTATACTCGAGTATTAGAATTAATAATGTTAAAATATTTGTGTAGGAGGAGCTGTTTGAAATCGAGGGGTCTTGACATAGAAAACAAGATAACTCCGGGACTCTAAGCATCTATTGTATGCAATAGTATAGTGCATCTAATTCGCACGGAGTATCTGTCGAAACTTTCTCTTATCTTAGTATGGAACTGTAGGATCTTTTTTCCTAGTCGTATTGAATTAGTAAAAAAATAAAGGTTGGTGCTACGTCCCCTATTGTTTGACTCAACATTTATTGGAGACAAGTCCCGACTTACTCGAGTGTCACATGCCCATCGGTTTCCATCTTGATTCGTCCCCGAGCCTCATTCTACTCGAAAAGATATTGCTTTAATACATATAACGACTCGTGCACAAAATTCAGATAAAGATTTAAAATTTGAATTTGATATATGACGACTCCGTGGTGCTACACGTGGACGAGAGTAGTACTAAGTCATCAAGTACGGGAGCTAGGAAAAACTAAAAAGAATTGAATATAACATTTACTTTAAAAAAAAAAATTGATAATTTCAAATATAAAATAAAATAAAAATCTTTAATTTAAGAAAAAGAGTGACACGTGTAAGAAGAATAAGTAAGTGGGACCCACAGAAAATCTGGTGCCATGTCATCACGGTTAGTTCTTTTATTAAGACCCCGTAAAATCAACTATCGTTTAGCGCATTAGGGTTTAGGGCTTTAGGTTAATTTTTTTAAAAAATATATTCTGTCTTTTGACTACTTCGCTTACATCCTTTGTGGCGATTGTGAAGATTCCATGGTTTTTGCCTTCCTCAATCTCTGATTTCATTAGGGTTTTTGATTCTCCTTGGCGGCTAGGGTTTTGATTCTTAGATTAGTTTGTTTTTTCTCCCTGTTATGTAATTACATGACTATAAGGCCTCCACTTTCGCCATTGTTTTGATTGCTTCTTCCATTGATCTCGATTCCGCCGGCATATGCGTTTCTACAAACTGTTTTGATCATTATTCCAAACACACACTTCTGTTTTTTTGGCGAATTGGATTTCAATTTTGGTTAGAATCGTCGCTTTTGGCTGTTTTCGGTGTTGTTTTCAGTTTTGGATATTGAATCCTCTAGTTTATTTTCTGGCGTTTGATCACATAGATAGATTGATATTTTTGTTGATTCCTTGTTCTGATTGATTAAAGAGAATTGGTTTATTTGATTTTAGAAGATGAGTTTCAATGATATGCGAGGCTCTGTTATACCGCCGCCATTGCATTCTTATGGTGCTAATGGCGATGCGTCTGGTTGCTGGTCTCAGTATCCTAGGAACGATCTATTTGATCCACAATCACAATTTGAGGTACAGCAGCCTCCATTCAAAAGAGCTAGAAATTTCGAAGAAAATCAATCTAGTCCTATGCCTTATCCAAATCCACCATCGAATTCCAGAGTTCAGCCTCCAAATGCTCCGATGAATAAAGGAATAAACAACATCTTCTTTAAGACAAGGATGTGTGCGAAATTTAAGCTTGGTTTGTGTAGGAATGGTGCTAGTTGCAACTTTGCGCATGGTGTTGAAGACATGCGGCAACCCCCTCCAAATTGGCAAGAAATTGTTGGTATACGGGAGGATGATCAATCTGTAAGCAACTGGAATGACGATCAGAAAATTATCCAGAAAATGAAGCTGTGTAGGAAGTTCTATAATGGAGAGGAATGCCCTTATGGAGATAGGTGTAATTTTCTTCATGAAGATCCTGCTAAGTTTAGAGATGATTCAGGGAGGTTTAGGGAGAGTTCAGCTATAAGCATTGGAACCACAGGAACTCCATTGATCAATGGAAGTGATTCTAGCTACCCTGAACCTATCAAGGCAGCTTCTAGCTCTGTTCCTGATGCTCTTCGTGCTAATGGAAATTCTAGGCCTTCATTCTGGAAGACGAAGCTTTGCACCAAATGGGAGATTACAGGCCATTGCCCCTTCGGTGAAAAGTGCCATTTTGCTCATGGCCAATCTGGTATTCAGAGCTCTCTCTCTTCAATGATTATATGAATGGAGTTCTGATTAGCTATTTGATGAACTGAAAATGATGATCTGCCTTGAATTATCTTCATAGTTAGCAAAACCATGTTTAGATTAAATCATTTGTTAAGTATTTGTGTTCTGTTCTCTGTGAAGCTTTTGACATTGTCTTTATCCATACCACTTTGAGATGCTTACTGTTATATATGAATCAGAGTTACAACTATCCATTGGACGTGAAGGGGAGGTATCTAATACTGCCCTCAATGTAAAGCCTCTCGTTGTGGCCATGGAAGCACCTTCAAGTTTGGCGACGAGTGTTCCGTCCTCCGCCCTGCCGGAGGGCCAAGCGAAGCAGTCCTTGCTGAAATGGAAGGGACCCAAGAAGATAAATCGGATCTATGCGGATTGGCTCGATGATTTGCCTCTGTCCCCAAGCTCAACGAGCCAATTGGAGGGTTGAGTTGTTCGGGTTGAAGAAGTTCATTGTAGTTTCGTTTTGAAGGTGGTTTGCTGAGATTCAATTGATTAGTGAAAAGGGTTCTGCTGAGAATTCATGGGGAATAGAAGAGAGTGAGGTATATCTTATTTGGTTCTCTATTATTCAATTATTTTGTTATTTCATATTCGTTCTACGTTCAAACTCAATCTCATTTACGAATGTAATTAGAACATATATTCAAATTGTCTATAACAATTCTCGTTTTATAGATGTGTTTACGTGTCCAAGAGGCAACCTACATGTGCATAGCTCGCTGTAGTTGACCTTTTCTCGTGGTTGGAGGTTCCAATCACCATACCTCATTTGTTGTACCAACATATACATAGTTCTTCGTTATGTTTAACAAATTTTGCCAAATCAGCTAACTATACTATTTAGCCGTGACATTCTCTTAAATTAAAGGAGCCTCCAATGATTATTTAGAATCATTTCTCAAACTTTGACTTAAGCGAGCTACCCTCTGGCACATGCGTGTTTCACAGTGTCACTCCTTTTGAAATGGATTTTTCAAGGACAATACCAGACACAGTGTCACTTCTTTTGAAATGGGTTTTTCAAGGACAATACCAGACGATGCGGATGTGTTGATATTGCATTCGAGTCCGCATGTTGGAGGTTGAATTATATATCCACTATCCGGTATAGTATTCGTAAATGACATGACATGGGCACGGGAGGGCCAATGCCACGATAGACTCGAATGGATGGATGTTCAAGATGTCCCAACGAGATGAGTGACATGTGTGTCCGTTCTCGATGACATAACTGTGTGAGTTGCGATGACTGACGACACCTTGAGACTTGGGATGACATCAGAGATATGAGACATGTCGATTGGAAACCAAGATGATAAGATGAGATACGAGGTTTGAGAGACCTTGGCCTCGAGTAGATGCGAGGACCACGAGTAGATGCAAGATTTGAGAGACTTTGACCACGAGTAGAGGCAAGATTTGAGAGACTTTGACCACGAGTAGAGGCAAGGTCGAACTGGATGACTTGGCCTAGCGTAGAGTGATTGTGTTGCATGACATTTTAAAATTTTATGATAAAAAATTGTAAGACCTAATGAAATTTATTTATTTATTGAGAATTTTAATCTTTTTTATTAAAAAAATTTAGAAACTCTCATTAAACTAAATAAATAAAGGAACTGTGACACGTGGTACCAGTGGGACCAACCAACCCTTCGCGCGCTCTCTCTGTGCGTGCTTCCCCATCCCATGGAGGAAAGTTGCAATCCAAACAAATGAGATCAATTTCATTTCCCCCTCTCATCTCCACATCTCCTCTGCGTAGTAACTTCAACAAATCCTTCGATTCCCACCATCCCTTCAATCCAACATCACCATCACTCTCTACCTCCCCCTCCATCCCTGCGATGTCCCTTAATTTACAGTCTCATGCCTTCGCCGGCAACCCCATCAAGTTGAAAACCCCAAAACCAGAAGACCCATTTTCGCCTTCTTCAGCTCTCCAATCCCTCAATTCCCAACTTCTGGACAACACCCACTTACCTTCTTCCATCAATTTCAAGGTCTTGCCCTTCAGAAAGGGCCGGCCGTTGGCCACCTCCAGTGCGCGACCTAATGGTGCCGCCCCGAGCTGGCATCTGGGTTGGCTTGGTTTGGCTGATTTCAAGGCCCTGTTTGCCAATTCCACGGCTGAATTGACTGGGGATTTATTCGTCTATCTGGGTTGTTTGGATGATGAGAACACTGTTTATTGGGCTATTGATGTTTCGAGCCAGGAAGGTTTGGTTCCTGAATTTGCGAGCAGGCTACTCTGCTTTGTGGAGGTTAGAACTCTCATGGTGGCTGCAGATTGGGCGGATGCTCGAGCCATGGGAGAATTGGCTATTGCTGGTCATGTGAGTGCTTGTGGTTTTCACTTGTTATCTCTGTATTGATGCTGTTTTAGTTTCATATCAATCTAGTTCAACTCTTTGTGTATATTTATAGACTTGGTTTTCTTTAACTGAGTGATGTGTGAATGAATTCGTGATGGAAATGTTGAGAATTAGTGGCACCAACTACATTAGTCTTAGGTATGATTAAGCTAGTGTTGATTTTGATCATGTGAAAATTTTAACAATTCGTTGAGTGAATGTGTGATCCTAGGATGTGAGATCCCACCACTTTTGAGGAGAACAAAACGTTTTTTATAAGGGTGTGAAAACCTATCCCTAGCAAACGCGTTTTAAAAATTTTGAGGGGAAGTTCGAAAGGAAAAGCCCAAAGAGGACAATATCTAGTGGGGAGCTTGGGCCATTACAAATGGCATCAGAGTCAGACACTGAGCGATGTGCCAGTGAGGAGGCTGATCCCTTAAAGGGGGTGGACACGAGGCGGTATGCCAACAAGGACGCTAGGCCCCGAAGGGGGGTGGATTGGGGGTGTCCCACATCGATTGGAGAAGGGAACGAGTGTCAGCAAGTACGCTAGGCCCTAAAGCCAGCAAGGACACTAGGCCCCGAAGGTGGTGGATTGGGGAGTCCCACATCAATTGAAGAAAGGAATAAGTGCCAGCGAAGACGCTAGGCTCTGAAGCCAGCAAGGATGCTGGGCCTCGAAGGGGGGTGGATTGGGGAGTCCCACATCGGTTGAAGAAGGGAACAAGTGTCAGCGAAGACGCTAGGCCCTGAAGGGGGGCGGATTGTGAGATCCCACTTCGGTTGGGGAGGAGAACAAAACATTGGGGGTGAAAACCTTTCCCGAGCAAAAAGTTCTGAACTTTTTGGGGAAGCCCGAAAGGAAAAACCCAAAGAGGAGGACATCCTCTAGAATTTGGGAACTAGCTTGATTTCTTCTTGTTCTTTTACCCTCTTTCAATTACATGGCTAAGTTATTTTAGCTTCAACCAGGCCAGGGCATTGCTAGAATGGCACGGAGTGTCAAAATTTTGTGGACACTGTGGAGGAAGAACAGTACCCGTGGAAGCAGGGAAACGGAAGCAATGCTCTAATCCCTCCTGCAAGAAGAGGGTTTACCCCCGTGTTGATCCAGTAAGATTATTGTTACACTTTCTCCGACCACCTCGCAAAGCGTTTATCAAACGATAGATACTTTGAGCTCGACATTTAATATCTCTAATCGTCGATGGTCTATGACAGGTAGTCATTATGCTAGTCATTGATCGAGAAAAAGATCGTGCGCTCTTGAGCAAACAATCAAGATTCGTTCCACGAATGTGGAGTTGCCTAGCTGGTTTTATTGAGGTACGCTACTGATTAATCATCGAACAATCGTATAGAACGTACATCTTATGGTAGTTAACATTAATCGTTTGATTCGGTTGTTTCGGGTTCTAGCCGGGAGAAAGCTTAGAAGAGGCAGTAAGAAGAGAAACATGGGAGGAGACAGGCATTGAAGTAGGGGAAGTTGTCTACCATAGCTCTCAGCCTTGGCCCGGTACGACTTACGAAACTTTGTTTTCCCTTTATGTTGCTCTGCTCGCTTTTTTCGTCATATCATGTATCCATGTTTTAATGACTGAGATCTCTTTTGCTACTTGTACAATCACTTCTCACGAAACTGTTCACGAAACTGTAAAACGTTCTGTCTGGTGCTCCCCGAGAAACTCTACAATAATTAGTTTAATTGATTGGAACAAAATCTGCGCTATTCAAGCAAGCTTTCCCCCTTTCTTTGTTGTGGAGTTCAACACATTGTTGTCTTATAGAACGTGATTCCGTTCTACGTTCTGCCTTTTTATTTCATTACGTATCCATGATATCGGTACTTGGTACTTTCATGATTATTGGAAACTCCTAGGAGGCCATTCTTTCAACACCGAGAGGAATTTTTGTAGTTAGCCTGTCCTGGTAGGAACGAGTGCCAGCAAGGACTCTGGACCCTGAACGGAGGTGGATTGTGAGATCCCACATTGGTTAGAGAGGGGAACGAAGCGTTCTTTATATGGGTGTGGAAACTTTTCCTTAATAGACGCGTTTTAAAACCTTGAGGGGAAGCTCGGAAGGGAAAGCTGTAACGACCCAGATCCACCGCTAGCAGATATTGTCCTCTTTGGGCTTTCCCTTTCGAGCTTCCCCTCAAGGCTTTAAAACGCGTATGCTAGGGGAAGGTTTCCACACCCTTATAAATGGTGGTTTGTTCTTCTCCCCAACCAATGTGGGACATCACAATCCACCCCCCTTCGGGGCCCAGCGTCCTTGCTGGCACTCTTTCGTTCCTCCAATCGATGTGAGACCACCACCAAATCCACCCCCTTTGGGGCCAGCGTCCTTACTGGCACACCGCCTCGTGTCTGGCTTTGTCTACCCCCTTCGGGGAACAGCAAGAAGGCTGGCACATCATCCGGTGTTTGGCTCTAATACTATTTGTAATGACCCAGATCCACCGCTAGCAGATATTGTCCTCTTTGGGCTTTCCCTTTCGGGCTTCCCCTCAAGGCTTGAAAACACGTTTGCTAGGGGAAGGTTTCCACACCCTTATAAATGGTGGTTTGTTCTCTCCTCCCCAACCAATGTGGAACATCACAATAGCCCAAAGAGAACAACATCTGCTAGCGATGGGCTTGGGCCTTACAGTAAGACAACAATATTGTGGGGGTACTCGTGGGTGTTTGAGTCGATCAATGATTTAACATGGTGTCGGACTAGTAGGTCCTATGATCGAACCCATGTAATGTCATTTCCACCCCGGACTTCTACAAACTTTCAAGCCAACGAATGAGGCGAGGGTTAAACTAATGATATGATTAAATGTACCATAACATATCAGCTTAAATTCTCGCTACTGATTTTATCCGTTCATCGAACTTCATGTCTTACCCTTTATTTATTGGTTCGTTCATGTACCTCGATCTCAGTTGGACCAAATAATATGCCATGTCAGCTGATGGTTGGTTTCTTTGCCTATGCAAAATCCTTTGATATAAATGTGGACAAGGGAGAGTTAGAAGGTATGTAAAACTTTCTCCCACATCGTCTAGTCCCTTATATATGGTCCATTTAGTATCGAAATTTGACGTTTCTCGAGCTTGATTCAGACGCTCAATGGCACGGTAGAGAAGACGTGAGGAACGCTTTGACGTTTGCAGAATACGAGAAGGCTCAAAGAACAGCAGCGGCAAAGATCGAACAAATGTGTAAAGGAGTTGAGAGACAACAGAGCTTATCTTCGGATTTCAATGTCGAAAGTGGCGAACTCGCTCCGATGTTCGTTCCGGGGCCGTTCGCAATCGCTCATCATCTCATCTCTTCATGGGTCTATAATGAAGGATCGGAATTGAAAGGTAGAAGTTCTTTGTCCAGCTTGTAGCCATTTGGTTCAAGAAATTCTTGTTCTTATGAACAGTTTATGGAAGGATCAGAGACACAATTTGCAGGGAGAGACAAGATTGTCTTAATAGTTTATAAACGAATTTGATCCGTATCATATTTGTTCGATCGGGCAGAGACGAAATTGTTATAAACAAAAGCTTAGAGATTAAATTATTACTTGAATGAAGTTTGAGGTATTAATAATGTTTTTTTGACCCGGAATGGTGTAGCGTTGACTTAGGCCATCGTCAACGTCGTCTTGTTCTGACATTTTAAGAAAAGCTAGATATGCCTACGGGATGAGGACGGGAAAGCCTTCTCCACTCTATTTCTGCTATTTTTTTATTTTTAATTCTCGTGATATTTTTTATTTATTTTTGAGGTGATCGGGGTAGTGATTTCCCACAAGGATGTGCGGGGTCGAGTTCTCCTCAAAGAATTTTTCCTCATGTTTTAATATAACTTTATCAAAAAAATGTAAACAAAAATTTAATATAATGTCTTCGGACTTTTCTTCGAGGTTTTTAGGTTTTTAAAATGCATTTGTTAGAGAGAGATTTTTATACCCTTATAAAAAATGCTTCATTCCCCTTTTAAACTGACGTGGGATCTCATAAACCGTCCCCATTCGAGACTCAACGTTCTTGTTGACACTCATTTCCCTCTCTAACCAATATGGGAACTCGTTAAAAAATGAGTCCGACATATAGAATCACGGCGGAGCAAGAAATGGAGATTGATGGGACATTTAGAAGAAAGTAAAGCTCAAAGGGCATGATGAAGTGTTGTGTAAACTTCGAAGATGAAGATGCTTTCTTGTACTTGGAAGTTTCCTTGCTTCAAGCTTCATTTTGCTTCAACGATTGTAGAATAAGCTACACAACAATTTTGATTTCAGGTTGGCGGGTGCGGAGCGGATCAGGTTGAAGCCGATATATATTATTACCGATAGCCAAAAATTTTAAATTATACGTCCGTTCAACCGAAACGTTGTTTTACAACGTGAAAATTTACGAAATTCAGTGACATATTAAACCTATGAAAATCAAAATTTATTTTTCCTTAAAACTGATTATTAAAAAATAAATGATTTTTACCCGACATAATTATTTTAAATAATATTTTTTAGTGTTGGGTAATTATTTAATTAATTAAAACGAATTTTTGCTTGTTTGCCACGTCGATTTTCAAAATAAGGATGCTTTGACTTTTTAGTCTCCTCATAAAGTTTGGTCAACGTAACTCTATTTCCATTTTTTAAAAACTTTACCTTTTTAGTTACAACTTTATTTATTTATATTTAGAATTTTCTTTGTTTTTTTTTTTCTTTTTATTGGAATTTTTTATTGCCTAATAAAGTTGTTGGAATTTCCAATGTACTATGCATGTTTTAACAATTTTTGTTTTTTTTTTTTTAAAAAATTCTTTTGTTTGAGCTCAATCCGAGAAGCAAAGTGTCACGATTGCATTTTCGTAGCAACGGGACAGTAATTGTGCGACGTTCGTTCTAACTCAACGAACAAGTTAGTTGTGAGAAATTTAGACTTTACAGACAACGTTGACATATGCTTGAGTCTCGATTCACGTTTGAGAGAAATGTTTCGAGAAAATATGTTGAAAACAATTTGAAAAAAAAATATTATAAGCTAAAAGCGATTAGGCAACAACAACTTTGATAGGATATAACTAGGGTAGAAAGAAGTGACAATTAGTCATATTTTTGGACATTTTAGTCCTGACGGATGTAGACATAATTTTGGTGAACAGTTATATACCTCGTGTCTAGGATGAAAGCATGTAAAAGGGGCTTGAAACAGGAATGCAGCATTGGACAATACATCCTGGACAAACATAACTAGAACATCTGACATGTGGTCATAGATAACACGGCTTGGACAAGTATAACAGTGACACGAAACCACTTATAGCGAAGCTGACAGATATTACGCATAAAATGTCTAAGAAGAAAGCATGTAAAAGGGGTTTGAAACGGGAATGCAGCATTGGACAACACGTCTTAGACAAACATAACTAGAACATATGACATGTGGTCATAGATAACACGGATTGGACAAGTATAACAGTGACACGAAATCACTTACAGTGAAGCTGATAGATACTACGCATAAATGTCTAAAAAGAAAGCATGTAAAAGGGGTTTGGAACGGGAATGCAGCGTTGGACAACACGTCCTGAACAAACATGATTAGAACATATGACATGTGGTCATAAATAACACGGTTGGGACAAGTATAACAGTGACACAAAACCACTTACAGTGAAGCTGACAGATACTACGCACAAATGTCTTAATCCTTATGTTACGAGTGACTGTAATCTCGCACGTCGTTAGCTCCAACATAATTAATTGATTTCGATTAGGTTAGTGTATACACGACGAGTCTTTCTTATAAAACGTTTATAATTTTTGTTTTTATTTAGAAAGTTAAGAAATATTCTATTTTTTTTTTAAAATTTTTGAAAATCATATTTTTGAGCGTGGGAACATAAGCGTACAATGAGAGAACAGTGAAAACCCATCAAAGCAAGCTATTCTTGGGACCTTGGCAACTTCAAACCGTAAAATAAATTTTAATTATTCGTCGTTAGCTCCATTTTTTCTTTTTTCTTCTCGGGAAATTTATTGATCGATTTTAAAACAAAGATTTAATGGGTTTTTGAAGAATCCAACAAAAAAAAATTGGAAAAAAAAAAAAAAGATTTTCAATCTCGCCCTTGAATGTCAAATATAAACAAAATTAACGAAGCCAGAGGCAAATTACAGAAGCAGTGAAGAATTCTTGTGATACCAAATTTCTCTCAAATCCCAAGGTCAGTGAATTCTCTTCCTCTTCGCTTCTTCGATTTCCATTATTTTCTGGGTTCAATCCGTGTTCTTCTTTTTACACCGCAGATCATAATTGCAATGATCCTTGATTTTTGTTACCTTTTACAATTTAGTTTTCGTTTCTTTGTTCATCGAACTCTACTTTTTTTTCTTCTTGTTTCAATTTTGATTTTCCGACTTGCTGTTTGGTTGCTCGGAAAACAGAACAATCGTTGAGAAAATTTTGGTTTCGGATATATTTGTTGATTGTTTCTGTTTGTACTAGAGACATTTTGAAATTGAAAGCTGAAACTATGCTACTTTTAGTTCTATCGAGTCTATTTGAATGTCGAGTTTATGATTTTGCGATTGTATTTTCGTTTCCGTTCCAGCATTTTCTTAGCAACCGAACATCGTATGAATGCGATTTCGAAGTCGTTATGGTCCGATTCTAGTGATGGAGTTAGTTTTGCTTGATTGTCTGGTTAGTTGATGAACAAGCGATTGAAGAAGAAAATACCAAATGATTTCCTATTTTATTGTTGTAATCTCGGTTAGCAATCCAGATTTGAGAGACGATTGTTCATTCAAACGTTCATGATTTCAATTTCAATATCGCCTAGCGTTCCCTTTATTTCATTTTTTTTTTGATATGGGATCTGTTCAATTGGTTAGATACATTCAGAAGAACTTCAGAAAATCTGTTTTTATGTCGTTTGATCCTTTTGAGTAATTTTGTTGCATACTGAAAGTGTTTTTCATATTGTTCGTTGGGTACTTCTGATTATTTCCTTATTTTAGTTTGATTTAAACAGCACCTTGTGTTGTAATTCTCAAGTTTTTACTGTTTCTGCTTGAAATAAACAGATAGTACCAGAAAATATGAGATTCAGGAAGGGCAGTAAAGTTGAAGTGCTAAGCAAAAACGAGTTTCCTTCAGGCTCGTGGCGTTCTGCTGAGATTATGTCTGGAAGTGGTCACTATTATACTGTTAGATATGACAAATTTGAGGGTGGTAGAAATCAAACTGTTGTGGAGAGATTGTCGCGTAAGGCAATTCGGCCTTGTCCAGCTTCTCATGAGGTGTTAGAGAATTGGATTCCTGGCGACGTCGTGGAGGTATTTAATGACCGTTCTTGGAAAATGGCTACAGTTACTGAGGTTTTGGGGAAGAACAACTATTTGGTCAGGGTACTTGGATCTTCTGGTGAATTTAAGGTCAGCAAATTCGACATTCGGGCAAGAAGATCTTGGCAAGATGATGAACGGGTTTTGATGCGCAAGGTAGGTAGTATTTTCTTGATTACTTTTCACTTGTAGCTATTTTTGTTGAAATATTAAGCGTAACATTTCAGAGGCTAGAATTTATTTTACATTATCTTGGTTTTACTTTTCAGTTTCAGTTTTTCTGCTTTGCTGCTGATGAACATATAAGTCCATCAGCTAGTGCCTAAGTTTTGTTTCAGTAAAAGCTCTATAGTATTCAGTGTAGTGAAGTGTAGTGTGACATCTCATTGGTTGGAGATGGAGAGGGTAACGAAACCTTCTTTATAAGGGTGTGGAAACCTTTCCCTAGCAGACACGTTTTAAAAACCTTGAGGGGAAGTGGGCCCTGAAGGGGGTGGATTGTGAGATCCCACATCGGTTGGGGAGGAGAACGAAACATTCTTTATAAGGATGTGGAAACCTCTCCCTAGCAAACACGTTCTAAAAACCTTGAGGGAAAGATCAAAGAGGACAATATCTGATAGCGGTGGGCTTGGGCTGTTACATGTAGCTTCTCCCTTTTTATGGTTTGAGAATTATCTTTAGTTGAGTTTGTCCTTGAATTTTAAATTTTTGTAAATGGAAGCATGTATATCAATGTCGTTTGACTGGAAGGTCGAAAGTGTCTATTATGAGAGGGATTAAAAGCAATATTTATTTGTCTCCTTCAAGCTATTTCATCTCAGTCTTTTTCGAATGTTGTTTTGTGCATGCAGAGGTCTGGCAATCATGGTGATGATAGCAAAGAAGATGAGAAGGCAAGCACTAGATTTTATGGTCTGAGCTCCCAAATTCAGAAATGCCAAAATGTTCCCAACTTAGAAACCTGGAAAAGGGGATCGAACTACGAGTATTCTCAAGCCGAAACAATGGGTAGAGCTGGCTTGAAATGTAGAGTGTTGAAGAAAAAGCAAAGGTATCACAGATCGGTTGCTGGAAATCCATCCGTGTTGCATGAGCACGTAAAGTCACTTGTTATCCAAAGAGGTATGCTGGGGGAACAACTTGGAGGTGCTTCTTTTGATAGAACCAACGTTTCTGAAACGAATGGCGATAGGAAGAAACAAATGGGTGTGGCTTACCATTCTTTTGAAGAAAACTTCGAACTAAACGATGCTGATAGAGCTACATGCTCGGTTGGAAGTTGCAGTATTTCTAACAGTAACAGCCATGGGTTACCTTGTCGTGTTACTATTGGCCGCAACGAAGATACAGATGGTTCGTCAAGTGATGCTGAATCCTTTTGTCATTTGGGAAATGAAACAGGCAATCTTCTTCTATCCAGAGACAAGCCATTGGAAGCTAAAATCCATGGCTTAGAGTTACATGCCTATCGATGCACGATGGAGGCGTTATATGCTTCGGGTCCTTTAAGTTGGGAAAAAGAATTATTGCTTACTGATCTTCGTCTGTCTCTCCATATATCAAATGACGAGCATTTGATGGAAATAAAAAATTTAGTTTCCACAAGCATTTCAAGTAGATGACAAGTAAAATGCATTTCTCCTCTTCAAGTTTTAAATTTTTTATCCGTAGAATGCAATATTGATTCTTGTGAAGGGTTCCCTCTAATTGTAAAAAGCAATATGAGAATGTTCTTCTTTTTTTTCTTCCTTACAATAGGTAGGGGTATAATTTTATAGTGTACAAACAGCTTTATTGAATTTGAATTTATCTTAGCTCCTGAAAGTGTTGTGTTGTGTTCTTCTTGTTGTTGGAACTCTGAGAAATTTCTGATGCATTTGTTTCTTGTGAAGATGCATTGTTTTCAGCAGAAAAAACACAATATTCTGTACATCTTTTGTATGCATCAAAACTCTTTACATGCTTGGTTTCTTGGATCTACAGATATCAATGTTTCACTGACCCTCTTGACATTGCCTACTGTCAATAGTCTTGGTAAGGGTTTCATGAACAGTATTATGAGTCGAGGCGTTTGATTGTGCCTGGAAAGGGACCGAGCTACCTGCTAGATAAGGTATACTTTTGAAATGCTTGTTGTCTGTTATCATTTTACTACTCAAGTGGTTACGTAATGAACTCTGCAATTTTTACTGGATTATACCTCTTCCTGATGTAGCATTAGTTTATATTATATACATAATGATTCAGGCAATCATCTTGAAGGAACATCACACTAAAGAAGGAGAAAGAAACTGACAACTTTTAGGTATATGTTACGATAACATCCTCTCAGTAAGGTATTTTGCAAGCTCAATCCCACTGCTAGCAGATATTATCTATTTTGGACTTTCTTTTCCAGACTTCCCTTCAAGGTTTTAAAACGTGTCTGCTAATTTGAGGTTTCCACATCCTTATAAAGAATGTTTCGTTCTCTTCCCCAACCGGTGTGGGATCTTACAATCCACCCCCCTTTTAGAGCCCAGCGTCCTCGTTGACACTCGTTCCCTTCTTCAATTGATGTGGGACCCCCCAATCCACCCTCTCTTCAGGGCCCAGTGTCCTCGTTGACACTCGTTCCCTTCTTCAATTGATGTGGGACCCCCCAATCCACCCTCTCTTCAGGGCCCAGTGTCCTCATTGACACTCGTTCCCTTCTTCAATTGATGTGGGACCCCCCAATCCACCCTCTCTTCAGAGCTCAGTGTCCTTACTAGCACACCGCCTCGTGTTCACCCCCCTTCGGGGATCAGCCTCCAGCCTCCTTGCTGGCATTTCGCCCGGTGTCTGGTTCTGATACCATATGTAACAGCCCAAGCCCACCACTATCTGTTATTGTCCTCTTTGGACTTTCTTTTATGGGTTTTCTCTCAATGTTATAAAACGTATCTGCTAAGGAGAGGTTTTCATGCCCTTATAAAGAATGTTTCGTTTTCCTCCCCAACCGATGTGGGATCTCACATATCTCCACGTCCACGTTGTCTGTTATATGTACACCACTGGTTATGGAGCTATCAATTTAAGGTTTCAATTACGATGATTCTTCATGGTATTAAATTAAAAAGTTGTCATTACAATGACAGATCTGTTTCTGTTCAATAACATGCTGACTACAAAGTCAGCTGCTCCGGAAGAGTGAGTTTTCCACCTAAGTAAATTTGTATAGTGCAGAATTCAATAATGATGAGACAACCCGGCAAAGGGTACATGATTTGGGTACATAAAGTAGAATTTACGGATTCTGTTTATTCCTCCTTATCCATTGCATGTTTATGTTATTTCCATTAGAGTAAAACGAAGGTTAATTTGAGAAGGTTTGATAGTGTTCTTATGTGCATCCTGCAGATATATCAAACTAGAGATGTGTTTAGTTCCAGCTCGGTTGTCTCAAAGCTAGCTCACTGCTAGCAGATATTGTCCGCTTTGTTCCGTTACGTATCACTGTCAGTTTCACGGTTTTAAAGTGCGTCTACTAGGGAGAGATTTCTACCCTCTTATAAGGAATGTTTCGTTCCTCTCTCCAACCGACGTGGAATCTCACAATCTACCCTCTTGGGGACCCAACGTCCTCGCTGTCGGTGTCTGGCTCTGATATCATTTATAACAACTCAAGGCCACCACTAGCCAAATTGTCCTTTTTGGGCTTTTCCTTTTGGGCTTCCCCTCAAGGTTTTAAAATGCGTCTACTATGAGATATTACATTGGTTGGAGAGGTGAACGAAGCATTCCTTATAAGGGTGTGGAAACCTCTTCTTAGTAGACGCATGCCAAGACGCATTTTAAAAACCTTGAGGGAAAGTCCAAAGAGGACAACATCTACTAGCGGTAGTTTGGACTTTTACAAATGAAATCAAAGCCAGTCACCGGGTGGTGTGTCAGCGAGGACGTTGACCCTAAGGAGGTTGGATTGTGAGATCCCACATCGGTTGGAGAGGGGAACGAAGCATTTTTTATTGGGTGTGGAAACCTCTCCCTAGCAGACACGTTTTAAAAACCTTGAGAGGATTCTCGGAAGGAAAAGCCTAAAGAGGACAATATCTGCTAACGGTGGATTGGTTTGGGCTGTCACAGTGGATTTCCCCCCTCATGCTCTTCAATTGCTTTCAGATGCACAAGAGTGAGGTCTTGCTCTGTAACTATCATACTTATTTTGAATATTTGAATTCAAACAAACCTCATCTCATCATTAACTTATTTGTTATACTTTCTTAATTAATCTCCATTTCCTTAGACTGACTCCTGAGCTGAACGTGCCTACTTCAGAGGAATTAGCAGAAGCATTAGAAGTGAGTTGTAAGTACATATCACTTAATTTGTTTATACTTCTGTACAGATGCCATCAACTACAGTGATTTTCTTCTTCTTCTTCTCTCTCTTTTGGCTTTTGTTTCTGCATATTTAAAATTTTGATTCACTTCCATTTTTATTCTTTTGGAGCTACTTTAGTCCTTATCATGAAACTTGAATGAAGCTACTTAACGACTCAAGTCCACCACTAGCAGATATTATCCGTTTTAGACTTTTTCTTTCGGGCTTTCCTTCAAGGTTTAAAAACGCGTCTACTAGAGAGAGGTTTCCACGCCCTTATAAAAAATGTTTTGTTCCCTTCTCCCTCCAACCAACGTGGGATCTCACAATCCACCCCTTCGGAGCTCAGTGTCCTCGCCGATACTTGTTTTTCTCTCCAATCAATATGGGATCTCACAAACTAGCTTTAAGGAAATGACTGGATGTGGAAAGGACTGAAACGAATGGTTAAAATGGAAAATAGATAAGGTTTAAGCACTGAAATGAAAATTCTAGAAGTTTTAGGTATAAAAAAAAAAAAAAAAACATTTTTTGATGGTATAGAAGCCTTATGAAACATTTAATGTTTGAAGTAGGTGACATTTGAGGGATGTGTGATATTGAATATGAAAAACCATAATGCCTAATCGTCCAACAAGATAGTAAAAACCCCACTAAGTTTTGTTGGAGCAGCAGGTCAAGTCTAATCAATGCTTTGTTTGCAACAGTCTTATCTTACAGTCAAGTCTATAACAAAGTCATACTTTTGAACTCCAAAGCTTTTGTTGTTTCATTTCTTGTGTCCTCTTCTTCAAAAATAGCTTTTTAGTGTAAAGCTTCTTCAACCTCAATGATAAATGCTTCTCCATTAATGGTACGGTTAATCCCACTGTGTGAATGAGTTTCCCTTGAAGTTTTTAAAACGTGTCTGCGAGGGAGAGGTTTTCATACCCTTATAAAGAACGTTTTGTTCCCCTCTCAACCGAGATGTGAGATCTCACACTCCACACCCTTCAGAGCCCAATGTCCTCGCTGACACTTGTTATTGTTTCGTTTCCCTTTTCAACCGATGTGGGATCTCTCAATCCATCTTCCTTCGGGACTTAACGTTCTTGTTGGCACTTGTTCCTCTCTCCAATCGATGTGGGATCTCACAATCCACCTCCCTTCGAGGCTCAGCCTCCGTTGGCACATGACTTGGTGTTTAACTCTGATACCATTTGTAACGACCAAAGCTCACTGCTAACAAATACTGTCTTCTTTGGGCTTTCCTTTTCAGGCTTCCTCTCACTGTTTTTAAAACGCGTTTACCAGGAAAAGGTTTCCACATCCTTACAAAGAATACTTTGTTCCCCTCTCTAATCGACGTGGGATCTCACATTTAAACGGTTTCTTTTGATTTTTACTAGACCAAGAGAGGCAAATGAAGGTAAAAGCCTCAAATGTAAATAGTGGGGTTTGATGAAAGTTAGAAGGGGTAAATGAGATATGATTGGCACATGGGAGTTTAGTGTGTTCATGTTAAATCACATCATTTCATGTTTATTGAGAGGGAAAAAAGTGATTGTGGCTGGAAAATGGGTGTGTTTAGAAACAGGGAAGAGGCATAGCTGTAGGCTTAAGCAGGTGGAATTGTCATCCAGTTAAGCAAGTGCATTTATGTGGCTCCACGAAATCCTCTCCTGTTGTCTCGTTTGCACCTCTTCATGATTGCTATTCCCATGTGGTTTTGCCTCCCACACACACAGTGAAAGAAGCTCTGTTTTATTCAATTGTATATGATCTTCATCATTTCAGTGGCTTTGTTCTGCAAATATGATCATCTTGTTGATGTGAGAAAGGGATGGTCTTTTTTGTAACAGTTTAAGAGTTTAAGCTCATCGCTAGCAGATGTGGTATACTTTGGCCCATTTCATATCGCCATCTCAAAACGCGTTTCAAGATCGTGAGATTGACGATGATACATAACAAACTAAAGTGAACAATCTACTAGCGGTGGGGTTGAGCTATTGAGATCTTAAATATGGGTGTCTTTCTTTCTCATTGTTGGTTATCATTCTATTTTAGTCTTTATCATTTCAAATATTTAAATTTAATTCGGGTATATTTGAAAGTAGAGCTAAATCTAAATCTAATATGAAAATTGAAATGGTTGGTATTAAATTAAGTGATTTGTTATGAGGATGGGGAAAAGAAATTGTAAAATTATATTATATACAATTGTGCATTATTGTGAATGAAATAATAAGGGTTGATTAAAGATTTATTATTGAAAGTGACCTTTTATGTACGGGTTAGGTTAGGTTGGAACAACCCTGAATAAGAGTTCACAGTTCACAGCCCAATCCAACCGGTCGAGTTGAGTTGGGTTTTTTTTTAGTTAATTATTTTTAAAAAACCTAATTTTCTTCCTTACACATTACATTAGTAAAATGTCATAAATCTCAAATATCAAATATTCACAAATCACAATACATCGTTAACATTGATTAGTAAAAAATATTTGTAGACAAAAGAATGTCTTAAAAAAAAAATTAATCCAATTTAAGAAAGTTTGGTTTGATGATCTTATTTTTTTTAAAAAAAAACAAAGAACACTATTTTCACCTATAAAACATCTACCTTTACAATTGTCAAAATGAAAAATAAATTTTTTTTATCGATATAGTTCCACTGAAATCAAAATCAACAAACAAGATGATTATGTGTTCGGATGGTACAAATAAGAACCGAGTAACAATCCTACGAACCTATGAGTTCAATACCATGAACTTTTTCATGTCTCCATATCAAAACATATCTTTTCTCTCATCTCATGAAACGAAGCCAAGAATTTTGAGCTCATAAAAGACTAAAAATTCCCCCCAAAAAAAAGAAAAAACCTTATTGTTTATAATCTTGATTGTTTATAATATAATGAGTGAGATTTGCATTAATTTGAAGTAAATGAAGGTGTCTTTCCTGTAATGAAGGCCAGGCATCAACCAGCTCATCTCCTTTGCTTTCAAGACTAAATTAAAATAAGGAATATTAGAATGTTGATCTTGTCTTGTAGTGCAGGTGGAGGAGACAAAGGCTTTGATATTAATGTGGAAGCATGCCAACTTACACAAACCCACGAGTCATGGAGAAGCCTTCTAATAATCAATTAAAATAAAATCAAACTACATCAATTTTTTTAGTTAATTTATTAATCCCGACCCCTTATCACCTTCACATTCCTCTACGACATGATCACGTTACCTATAAACTTTGAATAGGGAACCTGGATCGCTCCGAACCAAGCACAATTAACCTTGAAATTCTTATGATTGGATCACCGAAAAGGAAGACGTCTCTAGTAGGTTTAAAACTCTTTCATAATTCAGATATGATCCCAGCCCACAATCCAATACGGTTGAAGTTCTTATGATTGAGTTATAGAGAAAGAAAATGTTCGTCGTTAATATAAGTAATAACTTAACTATCTTCAAAACTTTTTTCAATCAGATGTGGTGTTAGTTCGTTCGTGCACAAAAGAAAATGATATTAATTACTCGATAATATCATCTTACATGGGAATTATTATTATCCAAATCACTTTGCATGTGATAATAATGGTTTTGGTTTCTCTTTTAGCTCAAATTTCAAAATGAGTATAGTGATGTGATAAGGAAGAATAATATTTTGAGAGAGAGAATAATAAGAATTGTTTAGAGAGAATGAAAATAATTAGAGTCATAATTAAGACTCACATGCTATTGATTCCTTTAACCAAAATTAAATTAGCAAGCACATATTTAAGTTTCGAGTATAAAAAACGAGCTTAAAGATTAAAGCTTTTTTCTTCAAAATACTACAGAAGATTCTAAAATTTTGTAGACTATCCCAACCGACAAACACGAGTCATTTTAACAAAATTTGTCATTGCCCACATAAAGTTACTTCAAAATGAAATCCTCGTAGAAGATATGTCATGTCGGTGTAAATAGTAACTATCTGATCGTTATGATCGTTCTGATTCGAATATGGTCTCATTTCATTCATTTACTCATTTACTCAAACGTCACGATTTAAAAGCTCGTTTTGTTTAGGATTTTTTGTTTTATTAAAAACGTTTGATTAACCCTTTTCTTGAACCTATTCTCATAAGCGGTTAAACCGTTAAAAGAATCCATTTGAAAAGAAAAAGTTTGAATTTTTTTGAAAAACAACCAGCAATGCCTCTTGATATGGTGACAAAAAGTAGAAAAGCACAAGAAAGCAAAGTGCTTTTATAGTATTATCATTGGAGATTGTAGAATTTTGGTGAGAAATTGGGAACACAAGGATGTGGAAAGTAGATATCACCAAAAGAAAATTGATACCCATTTCCCAAAGTCCCTATCTTTTCTTTCTTTAATCCTTATTGGTGAAGGCATTGAAATGAGAGCTTGGCCTTCATTTGTGGATCATGGAAGGGTGCTCTTGTGCTTGCCCAAACCAACACCCAATCATCAACAATTCCTTTGCTTTTAAACTCTCTTTTTCTTTCGTGGGGTTTCTCAATTCTTAATTATTCAATTCTCAACCTTCAAAATAAGCAACCTCACATCTTTGCATTGGTAATGCCAAAAATTGTGGTGTGATAAAGATCAGTTTTCGATATTTGAAATGGTAATTGTAACCGTTCAAGTCTACCGTTTAGTAGATATTGTCTTCTTTGGACTTTTCCTCAAGATTTATAAAATGCATCTACTAAGGAGAGATTTCCACATCCTTGTAAAGAATGTTTCGTTCTCACAATTTGCCCCCTTTGGGGCCTAACGTCCTCATTGACACTTGTTTCTCTCTCCTGTTTATCCACTGGAAGTAATTCTACTCGGATTAGACACTTGATTAAGCGAGAAACAAGATCACGATCATATACGAAAAGAAGCTTAGAAATAGATGAAAAGAATATACATTACATATACACGAGAGAGAAACGAGAGGAGGGGGTACACAAGGGATCTTCATTTACCCTAAGTTGTTAGTCTTCTACATTCCTAAGCCAAAAACACAAGTTTACATGCCAATAGAGGGAAGGGATTGATTGGGTCAGATCCATGGAGTTACAATGAAGAAGGTTAGGGCAATCTTTTCCTTTTCTTTTTTAGGGGAAAAAAAGAAGCCAAAAGGCTTGAAGGGAGGTTAGTTTGGGACGCATTTGTTGCAAAATATGTCAAAAGGGTTCGAGGGTAGTTTGGACATTTCACTAGGTAGGATGATATGTTCGATGTGGCATGATCATGACTGTTGATCTTGATGGAGCAATGAAGTGGATAACTTCTCGAAGATAATAGGTGCACCATATCGTGGATAAAGTAACATCTGAACTGCTGGTGAGTGTTGATAAGAGGGACCCAATCGAAAAGAAAACTTTTGAAGAATGAGTGCGAGAGCTAACTTTGCTTGTAATATAGCTAAGTTTTGGCCTATACAGGTCCGAGCTCCAAGCCCAAATGGAATGAATCCAACCCGATGGTTGGCTGCCTTTGCCACACCTTCTGCAAATCGCCCTGGATTGAACTCGTTCACATCATTGCCCCATATCGTTTGATCATGATGAACAGCCAAAATTGGAATCAATAACTCAGTGCCACGTGGAATCATGTAACCACCAAACTCCACATCAGCTTTCGCTTGTCGAATAGTTGCCACTGTCGGCGGATATAACCGTAAGGATTCATTGATAATCATACTCAACTGCACATCGATCCGACAACAACTAAATAATTATTTTTACTAAACATATCATATAATTTTAACAAAAAAAGAAAAAAAAGGAGACATAAAATTTTGTCCTAATATGAATACATATAATAAAGCATACCGTTTTGAGCTTTGTAACATCATCTTTGGAGGGTACGTCACGTGCTCCACACACACTTAGTACCTCATCACGTGCCTGTATCTGCCATTGTGGGTGCATTGCCACGAGGATCATTGTCCACGTCAGCAAATTAGATGTGGTCTGTTTGCCAGCAAAGAAAAACCCCTTGCACTCTTCAACAATGTCATTAACAGTGATCGTAGATGAAGGAGAAGACTTGGATGCTCGAATCATCAACCCTAATAAATCCTTCGAGCTCGACTCGATCGAATTTTCATGTCGTCGGTCGATCAATTTCATCAACGATTTTCTTATTTCTCTATCCAATCGCCATGAGTTCACGTTCGTTCTCGTGGGTAAGAATCTAATCACAATAACGTTAGCGTTAGATAAGATAACATTTGAATGAATTCATACCGACATTGTCGATCGAATCGAATTGGGGATAGTGTACCTGTAACCAGGGATGTAAACTTTGTCAAAGGCTTGAGAAGCAAGGACCATTTGTTGAGCTTGTAATCGAAAAATGGCTTTTCCATCTTCATAGCTTGAGCCAAAGGCGGTTCTAGTGATGACATCTTCCGTTAGGGTTTGGAACCATTCCGACACTTCAATTTCCACCTCGCCGGAATCTGCTAACATTGCCGACCATTTCTCCAACATTTCCACAACACTTTTTGCCATCACTGGAATCAACAACTAATCCAAAAACATAGGACCCCATAAGAAAAAATTCATCTTTTTTGGAACCCCATTTGAAAATAAACGAAACCCATAAGAAAAAAATTATTTTTTTGAAACCCCATTTGAAAATAAACGAAACCCATAAGAAAAAAATGATTTTTTTTAAACCCCATTTGAAAATAAAAGAGACCCATAAGAGAAAATTCATCTTTTTTGAAGCCCCATTTGAAAATAAAAGAAACCCATAAGAATATATATATATATATATAGAGAGAGAGAGAGAGAGAGAGAGAGAATACTTTGAGGTTGTCCATGTGGAAAGAGGGAGAGATGATCTTGCGATGAAGAGCCCATTTTTGGCCTTTGAGGCTGAGGAGGCCATCGCCTTCAAGCTGTTTAACGAGTGGGTGAGGTTCGTTTTTCTCGCAGAATTCTGATTTTGATGTGAAGATTTCTCGAATCAGGTCTGGATCAGACACTGCCAATCTCACCGTTGGTCCGAACCACACTAGAAATTTTGACCCTTTTCACCACAAAACACACAAACCATTATTCTCAACTTCTTTTCTCCACGATCCATACAAAAAAAAAAAAAAAAAAAAAAA